AAACCTTCAAAGAAAAGTAAGGTGCTTCTTTGTCCACTCTCACCTTTCGTTCGTTTCATTTTCTGTCCCCGTTTATTTAGATATGAAATGTTTAAACTATATTTCAAGAGGGGTGTCCAAGATTTTGAGAGTTCTTCGGGCGTCCTTTTCTTCCTGTTTCTGTAGCGAAACCCACCGACTCCGATGTTTTGGAAACCTTGAAGGAAAGGCGCTCCCTTGTCCACTGCGGCCTTCCATTCGTTTTTTTTCTTTGCGCAAGAGGACACAAAAGAAAGACATGATGTGACATGTATCCAAAATTAGGGTGTCCTTTTCTTCTTTTTTCTGTAACAAGACTCACCTTAAAAGGACGCCCGCGCCGGAGACTTCCAGTTTTTAGAAACCTTGAAAGAAAACAGGCCGAAGACCTAAGATTTTTAGAGAGTTTTTGTTCCCAACAGACAAATCGCGAGCACTGTCCGTCCCCCTAAGATTCTCCAAGAAGTTATGCACCCAACACACAATTCGCAAGTGCTGTCCCCTAAGATGTTGAAAGAATCTGTGCTCCCAAAAGACAAATCGCAAGCACCGTCCAAGTAAGATATTCGAAAAGGGTATGCTCCCAATCAGTTTTTTCTAAAGAAAAAGACAAGAAGAGAAGAGAGAAGAGAAGTTTGCATGTCTTCCTTCCCTGTTCCTTTCTTCTTCCGGTTCGCTCGCTCGTTCTGTCTCCCTCTCTCTCGCTCTCTCTTTTTTCTTTTATGGGCGGCATGTCTTGTAGAAATGGAAGACGGAGTGAGACAGGGCGAGGCATAGAGAGAAGCATAGACCGTAGGACAGAGAGGGTCTCTTAGCTTCCCCCTTCTCAAGTCCAGCTCAGTTTTCTTTCTTGTGGAAAAGAAAGAGGAAGAGAGAAGAGGAATTTACATGCCCACCCTGCCCCTCCAAAGAGTCAAATCGCAAGCCCTGGTCCCTAAGATTTTGGGTTTAACTTTTGCTCCAAAGAGTCACATCGCAAGCCCTGGTCCCTAAGATTTGGGGCCCAGTTTTTGCTCCAAAGAGTGACATCGCAAGCCCTGGTCCCTAAGATTTTGGGCGCATTTTTTTTGCTCCAAAGAGTAGCGTCGCAAGCCCTGGTCCCTAAGATTTTGGGCCCAGTTTTTGCTCCAAAAGGTCAAATCGCAAGCCCTGGTCCCTAAGATTTTGGGTTCACTTTTTGCTCCAAAGAGTAACATCGCAAGCCCTGGTCCCTAAGATTCTGGGCTCATTTTTTGCGCCAAAGAGTCGAATCCCTAAGATTTTGGGGTCAATTTTTGCTCCAAAGAGGCCAATGGCAAGCCCTGGTCCCTAAGATTTCGGGGTCGATCTGTGCTCCACAGAGTCAAAGCGCAAGCCCTGGTCCCTAAGATTTTGGGTTTAACTTTTGCTCCAAAGAGACACATCGCAAGCCCTGGTCCCTAAGATTTGGGGCCCAGTTTTTGCCCCAAAAGGTGAAATCGCAAGCCCTGCTCCCTAAGATTTTGGGCTTATTTCTTGCTCCAAAGAGTAACATCGCAAGCCCTGGTCCCCAAGATTTTGGAATCGATTTTTGCTCCAAAGAGTCAGATCGCAAGCCCTGGTCCCTAAAATGTTGGGCTCAATTTTTGCCTTTCCCTTCTCTTCTTCTGCTTCCTTTGAACTGATAAAACACAAGAAAGGAACTCATATGATAAGGCAGTGGAAAGGTAAGCACAGGGTGACTCCCTGCGCGTGGACCTTTCCATAATGCTCCATCATATTCCTCCTCTCGGCCTATCTCTTCTGTTCCTTTCCTTACCCTTCTCCTTCTCATAGTTCTTCCTTTTTGTTTTTCTCATTTCGAAAAGAAAGAGGGAAGGGAGAAACAAGGGAGAGAGAATAGATAACGAAGAGTGCCATCTTCTCTGCGCCTTGTTTTGTCTCTCCCTCTTCTCTATTAATCTGTCTTCTATTCTTTTCTTTGCTCTTCCCATTAAATATGCAATCCTTGGTATCTCTTCTCTCTCCTTCTCTCTTCCTGCAACAGATGTCCTTTTGGATCGTTTTCTGCATCTTAAAAAGGACACCCAAAAGAAAACACTCAGGGTGCCCCCTTTGCGCGTTTGAAGACACAGAAGGCGATTAAAAGGGACGCCCATGTTGGATTGGCAGCAAACCCAGCTGATGCTCATGATTCTGATTCTCTCTCTCTCTCTCTCCCTCTCTCTCTCTCTCTCTCTCTCTCTCGATCCCTACATATGGGCGATGGAACGGGTGTCCTTTTCAATCGTTTTCTGCATCTTCAAGAGAAAAACGGACACCCCGCAAGAAGGAAAAGTAACACAAGAGATAGGGAGGGAAATTGACCCTTTCCTCTCTTCTTATCTGCTATTTTTCTTATTCGCTTCAAAGAAGCAACATAAGGGAAAGGGGATTTCCTGAAGAGGAGCGAGGGAACCTATCTGTGAAAAGCAAGAATGGTTTTTTCTAGTTCGAAAGGGAATAGGGAGAGACAAGGGAGAGATGATATGTACAGCTTTGCGCCTTATATTGTGATTCCGTCTCCTTGCTTCCTGTCTCTTCTATTCCTTGCAGCACGCTTCGAGAAACATAGCATCCTTGTTATCTTTCCTCTCTCACTTCCCTTTCCCTTCTCTTCTTCTGCTTCCTTTGAACTGATAACACACAAGAAAGGAACTCATATGATAAAGCAGTGGAAAGGTAAGCACAGGGTGACTCCCTGCGCGTGGACCTTTCCACAATGCTCCATCATATTCCTCCTCTCGGCCTATCTCTTCTGTTCCTTTCCTTACCCTTCTCCTTCTCATAGTTCTTCCTTTTTGTTTTTCTCATTTCGAAAAGAAAGAGGGAAGGGAGAAACAAGGGAGAGAGAATAGATAAAGAAGAGTGCCATCTTCTCTGCGCCTTGTTTTGTCTCTCCCTCTTCTCTATTCATCTGTCTTCTATTCTTTTCCTTGCTCTTCCCATTAAATATGCAATCCTTGGTATCTCTCCTCTCTCCTTCTCTCTTCCTGCAACAGATGTGCTTTTGGATCGTTTTCTGCATTTTCAAGCGAGAAAAAAGGACACAGAATGCGATTAAAAGGGACGCCCATGTTGGATTGGCAGCATGCCCAGCTGATGCTCATGATTCTCTCTCTTTCCCTACATATGGGCGATGGAACGGGTGTCCTTTTCAATCGTTTTCTGCATCTTCAAGAGAAAAAGGGACACCCCACAAGAAGGAAAAGTAACATAAGAGATAGGGAGGGAAATTGAAGAACTCCTCATTTTACTTAGTCATTCCCTTTCCTCTCTTCTTATCTGCCCATTTTCTGTGCGCCTTGTTGTGTCTCTCCCTCTTCTCCCTTCATCTCTCTTCTAGTCTTTTCTTTGCTCTTCCCATTGAAATGCAACCCTTTTTATCTCTCCTCTCTTCTTCTCTCTCCCTCCTCTTCTCCTGTTCCCCTCTAAACGACAAAAACGCAAGAAAGGAAGAATAAGAGGGGAATGGAGGCCCTGTTCCTTTCTTCTCTTCTTTCAATGGATGGGGGAAGTGGGCGGAGTTGGCTCCTTGCCCGTACACCCTCCCCATGCTTCAGCAAACCCCTCCTCTCGCCCTATCGCCTCTGTTCTTTTCCTTGTGCCCAAACGGAAAACGAAAACGGGTTCCTTTATATGTTCATTGTCCTTCCTTTGGTTTTTTATTTCACAGGGAAAAGAACCAGAGAAGAGAAAGATAAGAACGAGAGGTGAGATGAAAACGGCACCATCTTCTCTTTGCCTTATTTTTGCACCTCCCCCTCCTGTCTTCATTTCTCTTCCACTCTTTTTTCCATTGCTCTTCCCATAATATTGCATTCCTTTTGATAACTCACAGGAAATTAAAATGGCCTCCTTGTTGTCTCTCCTCTCTCACTTCCCTTCTTTCTTTTTGTTGTTCTCATTTCGAAAAGACAGAAGGAACGGAGAGATAAGGGAGACAGGATAGATAAAGCAGAGTACCATCTTCTTTGCGCCTTGTTTTGTCTCTCCCTCTCCTTTATTCATCTCTCTTCTATTCTTTTCTTGGCTCTTCCCATGAAAATTGTGTTCCTCTTATCTCTCCCTCCTTCTCTCCCTTCTCTTCTCCTGTTCACGAGAGCCTTCGACTTTAGGGTTGAGGAGAAAAAGAAAAGAGAAAAGAGGAACTACCTGGTTCTTGTTCCTGAGGCCACCATAGTACGACTGACGTGACAGCAGCGTACCCTCGTGGAAACGTGTATGGCTATAAGAAAACCCGAGTCACAGCTTCCAAATAGACCCTATTTAAGCCACCCACGGGGGGGGGTGGGGGGGGGGGGGGGGTGGGGGGGGGGGTGGGGGGGGGGGTGGGGGGGGGGGGGGGGGTGGGGGGGGGGGGGGGGGGGGTGGGGGGGGGGGGGGGGGGGGGGGGGGGGTTGGGGGGGGGGGGGGGGGGGGGGGGGGTGGGGGGGGGGGTGGGGGGGGTGGGGGGTGGGGGGGGGGGGGTGGGGGGGTGGGGGGGGGGGGGTGGGGGGGGGGGGTGGGGTGGGGGGGGGGGGGGGCGGGGGGGGGGGGGTGGGGGGGGGGGGGGTGGGCGGGGGGGGGGGGTGGGGGGGGGGGGGGTGGGGTGGGGTGGGGATTCTGGGCCTTTAAATTCCGCAAGCTGTTCCTGGGACCCCAACGGCTTACTTCGTACTAGTCCTGCAACCCTAAACCCTAGGGATCTGGGATCTGGGATCTGGACTTGTGTTTTTTTCGTCATGTAGAGCCCCTGAGCCCCAAATCCTAAAACCCTAAAACCCTCAAACCCCAAAACCCTAAAACCCTAAGAACCCCAAAACCCTAAAACCCTTAAACCCTAAATCTCTAAACCCCTAAAACCCTACAACCCTGAAACCCGAAACCCTAAACCCTAACACCCTTAAACCCTAACAGGAACCCTAAACCCTAACACCCTAACACCCTTAAACCCTACAACCCTGGAACCCTAAACCCTAAACCCATTCTGCGGCTGCTTCCAGGCGCAGGAGCAGAGGCACGCCGCTGAGGCCGAGGCTGGGCCAACGACCCTTTAAGGTTTAGGGTTTGGGTTTTAGGGTTTAGGGTTTAGGGTTTAGGGCTTAGGGAGGTTTCGGAGATTAGGACTTAGGTGTAAAAGCTACGCCCTAAAGTTTAGGGTTCTAGGGTTGAGGGTTTAGGGGATTACTGAGGGTTCAAGTAGGGTCTTATAGCTAGGGTTTTCGGGTGGATTGTTGGGGTTTAGGGGCTCATGGTTGAGGGGTTTAGGGGTTTAGGGGCTTCAATTAGGGTTCAATTTGGGTTCAGTTTGGGTTCAATTAAGGTTTAATGCGGGTTTATTACGGGTTTAACTGTAGGGTTTAATTAGGGTTTAGCCAGGGTTTAATTTGTGTTTAGTTGGGGTTTACTTTGTGTTTTGGGGTTGAATTTGGATCCTGGGGCTTACTTTGGATTTTCGGGCTCAGGGGTTCAGGGTTTGGGGACCCTCATGGACCAGTCCATTTGCTTGAGAACCCCCAAACGATGAAAGATGACATGTTTTGATTTGTTGGGGGGTTTTTAAGCCAATAACAGTTTGCAGTTAGAGAGCAGGGTTCGGAGATGGGAGGCTTTGTTGGGAATGCAGGGTTAGGCTAAGCAGAAACACACAGAAATCTGGAACCCAAATGTAAAGGGCCACGGAGGCTTAGGAGCACAGTTTGTGGTTTAGGTTTAGGGTTTAGGGTTTTGGGTTTTGGGTTTTGGGTTTTGGGTTGAGAGGGGAAGTGACACCGCGACGACTGAAACTCGCCGAGCATCTGTGCCGGGCGCAGTGTTCATGTTCCTGGCTCAGAGATCGAGGTTTCAGGTTGAAAGGTTCAAGATTTCGAGTTTAGGGTTAAACCCCTAGGCCGTGTACCCCAAACCGTAAACCCTAAACCCCAAACCCTCAACCCTAAAACCCAAACCCCAAACCCTAAACCCTGAACCCTAAACCCCAAACCCTAAACCCTAAACCCCAAACCCCAAACCCTAAACTCTAAACCCCAAACCCTAAACCCTAATTCCTAACCTTCAAAAGCAGGGAGTCAGGGTGCCAATGGGGGTCCAGAGAACTGGCAGTTAGCACTTTGCTCATCAGGATGGCCAAACTCGACTCCATACATGGTTTAGGGTTTAGGGTTGAGGGTTTAGGGGGACCATGTCCCTGCTGATGCTGCATGACACGTCCCGGCATGCCAGGCCAAGGATGCACAGCATCAAGCACGAGAAGAGGCAAGCATATGTCGGTCTACTACGGGAGGTTGTGAAGGCTGGTGTCTTCCTAGGTCCTAGAGTTTCTTATATCCCCTTGAGAGCGGGATATAGATCCATCATTAGGGTGCATGTTGTTTTTCGGGGGTATATGATAACTACATCCCGCTGAGAAAACGAGACGTGGATCCATTATTCTGCATGTGTCAAGGATGCCCTTTGGCACCTTATTCCCCTTTGTTTTTTTTGGGGGGGGCGGGGGGGGGGGGGGGGGGGTAAACCTAAACCCTGAACCCTAAACCGGCTCCCGTAGAAACCCCTTGTAAGGAAAAAAGGGCAATTTTGCATCCTCGGTTGCTGGGCAACCTCGTTTTCGGGGCCCTAGTCAAACCCTAACCCTTGTGGTAGACCATCTTTTCCATCATAGCTTTCAGAGAAGTAGAGGCTTGGGATTTTTATCCCCTTCGCCTCCGCGGATTCATGCCATAAACCCCACACCTCCAAAAGCCCTTCGTTCCCGTGAAACCAAACTATCAAGTTCCGTTAAGCCAAGTTATAAACCTCAACTTCTCAACTTGGGATGTTCGCCCTTTAGGGTTTAGGGTTTCGGGTTGTACTAACGGTCAGTAATTAGTAGATATTAGAATAGGGGGGGTAATATAGATTTTTTTAAGGACTGTTAGTATGACCGGGGAGCATCCCAAGACTCGACCCTGAATCTAACCTGAAGGCCCAAAACCTTAACATCCCGGAATCCTAACTTCCCGAAACCCTGGGCCCTAAGCCTTCATGAGCTTGTACTAAATAGGTGTACAAGATCCCAAAGCTCATTCTCAAGCTTTTGGACATCGAGGGGTTTGGCTGCTTTCGAATCTAGAGAGCTTACTTGGAAGCTCTTCTGACTCAGTATGCCCTAGCAGCCCGAAAATAGTCCCCAGGCTTCCAAGTAGAGGGTTTCAGAGGGTTTAGAGGGTTCAGCGGGCTTAGGCGGGTGAGGACGCTCAGAGGGTTTGGGGTTTAGGGCTGAGGCTCCTAACCCTAAACCCTAAACCCTAAACCCTATAACCCTAAACCCTAAACCCTAAACCCTAAACCTAAACCCTAAACCCTCAGTCTTGAATCCAAAACCCCGAACCCTCCAGCTGCGTAGGCACTTCGCGCAAAGCACGAGGAGGCCTTGAACTCCTCCTTGCAGGCTGGGGTCCTGCGCGTAGCTGTCTTTTCGAGGGCTCCGTGGGTTTAGGGTTTAGGGTTTAGGGTTGAGGGTTTAGGGTTTAGGGTTTAGGGTTTAGGTTAGCGCTTGTTTGGGGTTTGGATTTAGGGTTTTGGGTTTAGGGTTCAAGGTTTAGGGCTTAGGGCTTAGGGCTTAAGGCTTAGCGCTTAGGGCTTAGGGCTTCGGGCTGAGGGTAGGTTCCTCTTGGGTCTAGGGGGTTCAGGTTCTGCCAACATAGCGGCGCCCTTATGATTCACTGACAGCCAGCCCAAAGCCCGAATCCCCCTAAAACCCTTCACCCTAAACCCTAAACCCTTCACCCAAAACCCTAAACCCCAAACCCTAAACCTAAACCCTCAAACCCCCTATAACCTTTAAGCCGAAGCCGCGCGAGGCACGTGAGCAGAACCACGCCAGGGCCAAAGAGGCCTTTTGTTGGGTTTTTGGGGAAGGGTTGGTGAGGGTTTAGGGAGTTTAGGGAGGGTTTAGGGTTTAGGGTTTAGGGTTTAGGGTTTAGGGTTTAGGGTTTAGGGTTTAGGGTTCAGCATCTCAAGTTCGAGCATTGACTAGGCCAGCAGTGTATCTAGGCAACGGAAAAAACCCACCCGCCCAAAGAATCCCATAACATTAAGAAAATAGAAGGTTACTTATTTTCTCTTCGGATGCACCAATCACGCCGTAGTACCAAGCACTTAACACAAGCCACACCCGGCCTTGAGGCCTTGAAACCCTAAACACCAGGCCTTGAGGCCCTGAAACCCTAAACACTAGGCCTTGAGACCCTGAAACCCTGAAACCTAAATACTAGGCCGTGAGGCCGTGAAACCCAAAACAGCAGGCCTTGAGGCCCTGAAACCCTAAACACCAGGCCGTGAGGCCTTGAAACCCTAACCATTAGGCCCGGAAATCCTAAACGCCTTTGGACGAAACGACCTTGCCCAGTAAAAAATGACCTAGCCCAGTAAAAAAATGACCTAGCCCAGTAAAAAAATGACCTTGCCAGTAAAAAAATGACCTTGCCCAGTTAAAAAATGACCTTGCCCAGTAAAAAAATGACCTTGCCCAGTAAAAAAATGACCTTGCCCAGTAAAAAAATGACCTTGCCCAGTAAAAAAATGACCTAGCCCAGTAAAAAAAATGACCTAGCCCAGTAAAAAAATGACCTTGCCCAGTAAAAAAATGACCTTGCCCAGCAAAAAAATTACCTTGCCCAGTAAAGAAATGACCTTGCTCAATAAAAAAATGACCTTGCCCAATAAAAAATGACCTTGCCCAGTAAAAAAATGACCTTGCCCAATAAAAATGACCTTGCCCAGTAAAAAAATGACCTTGCCCAGTAAAAAAAATGACCTTGCCCAGTAAAAAATGACCTTGCCCAGTAAAAAAACTACCTTGCCCAGAAAAAAAATGACCTTGCCCAGTAATGACCTTGCCCAGTAAAAAATGACCTTGCCCAGAAAAAAAATGACCTTGCCCAGTAAAAAAATGACCTTGCCCAGTAAAAAGATGACCTTGCCCAGTAAAAAGATGACCTTGCCCAGTAACATTTTTACTGGGCAAGGTCATTTTTTTACTGGGCAAGGTCATTTTTTTACTGGGCAAGGTCGTTTTTTTTGGACGAAACGACCTTGCCCAGTAAAAAAGTGACCTTGCCCAGTAAAAAAATGACCTTGCCCAGTAAAACAATGACCTTGCCCAGTAACTCCTTAACATTTAAATTATATATGAAAGAGAGGTTTAGGGTTTAGGGTTTAGGGTTTAGGGTTTAGAGTTTAGGGTTTAGGGTTTAGGGTTTAGGGTTTAGGGTTTAGAAATAAAACCCTAAACCCCGAACTCCAAAGGCTTGAAGTTTTGGGTTTAGGGTTTAAGGTTTAGGATAACCCTTAACCCCCCCTCTTCTGTGTGTGGCATCGCAGGCGATGCAGCGGCAGCACCAGACAGCCTTGGCAGAAGCCCTCAAGGCAAGCTTGCGCCGAGCCTGGTAGTTTCATGGTCCCTTTAGGCTCGGCCCTTGAAAGGGGACCCCATATATCCCCCTTCTATACCCCTTATATACCCTATACAAATGGTCCATACATCAGAACCCTGTAAAGGAGCTAAGATATGTAGGGGGCCCATGACAGTATCCTTGGACGCAAGAAGCCCTAAGCCCTATAATCCCGCCCCTGGGCCCTAGAAGCTCTAAGCCCAGGGTTTAGGGTTTAGGTTTTGGGGCTTGAGTTTGGGGTTTAGGGTTTAGTGTTCAGGGTTTAGGTTTCAGGGTTTCGGGTTTAGGGTTCAGGATTTAGGGTTTAGGGCAACCCGAGAGTGGAAGTTGGATTTCGAGTTTATTTGTTATGGCTTCACAGTTCCTCCAGAGTCATTTCAGGGAACCCAAAACCAGATTTTTGACATAAGGGGTGTCAGAACCTTGCATCCCCAGATCTGATTCCAAGAGCCGCGCCCCCAAACCCTAAACCCTAAACCCTGAGCGCTGAACCCTGAACCCTAGAAACGCTAGAAACCCTAGAAACCCTAGAAACCCTAGCAAACCCTAGCAACCCTAGAAACCCCAAACCCCAAACCCCTTACTAAACCCTAAGCCCTAAACAGCCCAAACCCTAAGCCCCCCAAACCTTACAAGCCCTCAGCATAGGCCAAGGACCGCGAGCAGGCGAAAGCAGCGGAGGTGCCTTGCACCGAACCTTGACTCGGCTTTGTGTGAGGGTTTAGGGTTTAGGGTTTAGGGTTTGGGGTTTGGGGTTTGGGGTTTAGGGTTTCGGGTTTAGGGTTTAGGGTTTAGGGTTTCGGGCTACGAGGACCCAAAGTAGGCCCTTATTCCCTTGTTTTTGGGTTGAGGCGTTTTCAGGCCCCCTTTTCACCAAGACGCGTGCCCTTTTTTTGCCTGGGTTGCTCTTGGGTCGAGTAGCCCCTAAACCCTAAACCCTAAACCCTAAACCCTAAACCCTAAACCCTAAACCCTAAACCCTAAACCCTAAACCCTAAACCCTACATACCCTTTCCATTCCTAGGTTGCTCTTCGGTCTCGTTCACTTCTTTTCGCGAAGGGGTCTCTGGAAGAGGGTCGCCCCAGAGGGTTTCAAAAGGATGTTGCTGACAATAGTTAGGGTCGCCCTCTAGACCTTAAACCCTAAGCCCTAAACCCTAAAACAAACCCTAAACCCTAAACCCTAAACCCTAAACCCTAAACCCTAAACCCAGAAAGACTGTTGCTGACAAGAGTTGGGGTCCCCTACACAGTGCTTCTGGAGACGATGGCCTTGGCATCTAACTCCATCCTAGACCATCTTTCCTACGAATTTGCTTAGGAAGACGCTCAAGAAACCAAGAATTCCCATATTGCCCAGCAAGGAAGGATGGTATTTGTTTGCTTGGGGGGGGGGGGGGGGGGGGCGGTTCTGAAGCAAATAGGAGCCCTAAGCCCGAAGCCCCTAAACCCTAAACCCTGACCCTAAACCCTAAACCCTAAACCCTAAACCCCATTCATTCCCTGTTTCTACCATGGAAGTTCCCGTACCCCAGAAGATCTCGGTGGGAGCAGGACTGGATCCCGCAGTGTTTGGGGCCAAGGGCCTTGAAACCCTAAGCTTTGTAGGGTTTAGGCGGTTTAGGCGGTTTAGGGTTAAGGGTTTAGGGTTTAGGGTTTAGGGTTTAGGGTTTAGGGCTTAGGGCTTAGGGCTTAGGGCTTAGGGCTTAGGGGCTCAGGATCCCTTGAGGGCAGGTTGGGGCGGCACTGGATCCCAATCCCTCGGCCAGGATCTCCGGCAGGAGCAGAAAACTGCAGTGGCAGCGGCTCTTGAGGCGGGCTGGGGCAGAGGTCAGGGTTGGGGTTCAGGGTTTAGGGTTTAGAGTTTAGGGTTAAGGGTATTGGGCTCCGCCATCCATTGCAGTACATTTTGCACACATGGTAGGTTAACAGTACAGGAGGGGTCAAGGAGTTCGTGCTTACATGTAGGGTTTAGGACTGATGGCTCAGGAGTTAGGGCCTACAACTGACATGCTGTTTCACAACCCTAAGACCCCTAAAACCCTGAACCCCTCTAAAGCCCTAAAGCACTAAACCCCCCAAAAAGCCCCAATCAAACCCTAAAAACCCTAGTGGAACCCGAAACCCCCTAAAGCCCAAACGCTCTAAACCCCAAAACCCTAATTAAACCCTGTGCTGTACAGAGATTAGTGTCAGGAAGGGCTCTGGTTTCTTGGCCACCGGCTTTCATTATTTTCACATCTAGGCTTGAGCTGAGGAAGCACAGAGCCCGCCACGCAATGAAGTTTAGGGCATTTCTTGGTTCAGGGTTCAGGGTTTAAGGTTTAGGGTTTAGGGTCCAAGCGTTTCTACTTGGGCCCCAAAGTCCCTGTATAGAAAGCGCTACAAGGCCCCCAAATATTCCCCCGTTTAGGGACATGGACCCTTAGGGTTTTTTTGGGGGGGGTTTCTCTCTTTAGGCGGCCCCGAACATTCAGAGTGCCCCAAAACATACTTTTGAGATGCTCCCTAACGACCTCAGCTCCCTGATCCCTTAACCCAAACCCTAAACCCTAAACCCTAAACCCTAAACCCTAAACCCTAAAAATCCCTAAGCTTCTGGAAGGCTCGAGACGCCGAGCATGCTAGATCCATCGAGGCCTCGCGGGTGGCTTAGGGCTTAGGGCAAGTTTAGGGTTTAGGGTTTAGGGTTCAGGGTTTAGGGCTTCGGGTTTAGGGTTCAAGGTTCAGGCTTCAGGGTTTAGGGTTTAGGATGCCTGTTTTTTCAAGGATGGCCAGTAGTACCCTTGTTCCACACCCTTTCAGCAGACATGGGGCACTTCCTAGCTTGTTCACTGGGCAACCTAGTTTGGGTAGTATACTGTAAAGGGAGGTTCAGGATACTTAGAACCCAGTTATAAGTGTAGTTATAACCCACTTATAAGCCCCTCAAGTACCCCAATAGGGTCGTTGTGGTTGGCCTGCGGGTGCGGTTGTGATTGGGTTACGAACTACCATGAACCTACATGTAACCCTTGATATGGCGGAACCCCAGCGCAACTGCATTATTGGAGTAGACGGGTAATGCTTCGTTGCCCTGAGCCCTAAACCCATAGGCTCACATTTTTGGAGCTTTTTGGTGTCTAGCCGGTCTGGTGGTAGCCTTTGGTCCTTTTTTTGCGGTGTTGTTTTTTGATTTTTAAGCCTTTGGGGTGCTGGGTAGTCCGAACCCGAACCTAAACCTTCTACACCCTAGGGAGCTGTAGGTTTTAGGTACCTGGAACTTCATCAATTTCATGGCCCAACATTATGTCCAAATCAGCGGACACACTCTTCTAAACTCCAAACGGGGTCTACAACCTGACTTTTGCTGGTTGGGGATGCAGGTATCCACCCGTCCCACTCTTCCAGGTTTTTGAGTCTAGCGAGTTTCGTGTTTTCGGGGCTGTATATACACATGGTTATGCATGCATGTTTTTTTGGCAAAAGATATCAAAAGCAGTGTCTGTTTGTGATTCAGTTCACAGTTTTACATATGCACACGATACATTTGACCAAGCTTCGGCAGAACTCTTTCGCACTTGATTTATTTCGGTCAAGAAGCCTTGTATAATCCCCAAACCCCCCTAACCCCAAACCCCAATCCCCCCTCAACCCTCAACCCTGAAACCCTTAACCCTGAACCCTAGAACTCTGGGCCCTAAACCCTAGAACGCCGCACACCAAACCCCTCAACCCTAAGCCCTGTGGGACACCCCCCCCGCCGCCCTCGCCCCTTGTGTCTGTCCCTAAACCCTAAACCCTAAACCCTCAACCCAAAACCCTCAACCCTCAACCCTGAACCCTAAACCCTAAACCCTGAATGTGGGAGGCCCTCCGTGCAGAGCATCAGAAGGCGTTGGCCGCAGCCCTGCAGGCCGAACCGAGTGTAGGGTTTAGGGGTTTAGGGCTTAGGGCTTAGGGCTTAGGGTTTAGGGTTTAGGGTTTAGGGTTTAGGGTTTAGGGTTTAGGGTTTAGGGTTTAGGGTTTAGGGGATGGGTCGGGTCTTGATGGTTTGGAGTATTTGCACGCACGACCCTCCTGAAGCCAGTTCGGGTTTCGTGTTTAGGGGTTATTGCCACTGCGCAAGGTCAATGCACATGTTGTTTGTTGTTTTCAAGACTAGGTTTATTACCCGTACCTGGGACCCTACTTTCCTACGGTTTACTAGTAAGTACCCCTATTTAGTAGGTAAAACCCTTTGTATGTAAAGAAAGTTCCAGGCAGGGTTTTGGGTTGAACATCAACACATTCCCGCCCCGCCCCGCCCCCCCCCCCCCCCCCCCCCCCCCCCCCCCTCCCCCTTATTATATGCATGGAACACAAGGGCTCCCAAGGTCAGGCTCGATACTAAGGGCGCTCAGTCCCTCAGAATTGTTCTTGCCCTGGAGGCCCCAATCCCTAAACTCCAAACCCTAAACCCTAAACCCTAAACCCCGCAGAATCTTTCTTGCCCTGGAGGCCAAAGACAAGGAGCAGGCAGACGCGGGCAAGGCGCTAAAGTTAAGACCTAGGCCCTCAACTCGGCTTGCCCGGGCTGCGGTATGGGACTGACATCCAGGGTTTAGGGTTTAGGGTTTAGGGTTTAGGGTTTAGGGTTTAGGGTTTAGGGTTTAGGGCTTTGGGTTGCTACCATCAGATGTTCCCTTTTTGTTAGAGCTTACGTTCCCTTATCAGCCCCTAACGAAACAAAAGGACTGCCCTTTTAGGCTACTCTTGGGTCTAGTTTTCTTTGGGATGTTTAGGATCTATGGCTAAAGATCCTTCTTCATGGCTAAGCCCGAAACCTCAAGCCCTAAACCCTGCACCCGAAAGCTGGAACGCTAAAGCCAAAAACCTAGAGAAACCTTAAACCCTGTATGAACCCTAAACCCCAAATCGTAAGCCCTAAACCCTGAACCCTAAACCCCAATCCCGAAACCCTAAACCCTAAACCCTAAACCCTAAACTCATGTAGATCAGCCTGCCACAGCCCTTTGGCTCGGAGGCCCCTGGGATGGTTACTGGTGTTCACTTCTCTTGCCTTCACGAGGATGTATACGGGTGGGGTTTAGGGTTTAGGGTTTAGGGTTTGGGGTTTGGGGTTTAGGGTTTAGGGTTTAGGGTTTAGGGTTTAGGGTTTAGGGTTTAGGGTTTAGGGTTTAGGGTTTAGGGTTAGGGTTTAGGTTTATAGGGTTTAGGGTTTAGGGAGTTTAGGGTTTAGTAGGTTCTTCCCTTAAAATCCCTTGTGTAGGATTCTTGGGTAACCCGCGCAAAAAATAGGTGTTGGGTCCTTACGGTAGGGGGGGTACCCTTGATGTCCATCGAGCCTTCAGATGCAGAATGTGGCCTGCTGCAGCTCACTCCGGCATCCCGTACGGTGAAGAGCACATTCCTCTTTGAGAGTCTCGGCTTTCTGGGACCTGAACCCGAAACCCTAACCGCAGGACTTGTGACGTGATTCCGGGCTTAGGCGCTGGGGTTTAGGGGGAGAGCGGGCCCGGCCAGGGCGAATCATTCAGACATGTGAGGTTAGATCCCCACACCGCACACAGAAACCTCAAACCCTATACCCTATGAAGCATCTGTAAGACTGTAAGAGTCAGGGTGGTCGGATTAATAGTCCTAAACCCTAAACCCTAAACCCTAAACCCTAAACCCTAAATCCTGCACCCTGCACAAGATTTGCTTTTGGTGTCCCTCACACATTTCTGGGAGATCGGCTGACCCCTGCTCTTACTGCTCTTGAAGCCTAACCACCATAAGAAGGGAGTATTTTAGTTTAGGGTTTAGGGTTTAGGGCTACGTCCTACACGCTAGCGAGGGTCGTCGCAGAGGGTCCAAATATTACTCTAGCACCCCCAAAAAACCCAGGATAGTAGTTCGCGCTTGTTGTGTGACCGAAAAGCATAAATACTTCTGACTCTCGGACCCTTCCTGCAAGGCCTTAAATTCCTAAACCTGCCAGAGAAACCCCTCTGAGGACGGGCTTCTACAGCGCCTCCTCCGTCCTGTGCCTCGTGGCCGCGGGGGTGGTATGGGTATCTGGCTTCCAGGCTTCCCAGGTCATACAGCTCAGCCACCCGGAGTACGTCAGCCAATGGCTCATGCTCTTGCTGCAGCTGCTCACCACGGTGGCTAGGACCCAGAAGTGGGGCCCCTATTCCCATTTGTTTAGGACTAAAGGTTCCCTGAAAAGCCTCTTGAAGCCAACAAAGGGTGCCCTTTTATTCGTTTTTTGTTTCCTAAGTTATTCTTGGGTCTAGGTGGACATGATGATCCTCGTGCCGGTGATCTACGACATCAGTGTGAAGCTTCACTACGGGGCTGCCATGTCAGGTCTGGTCTTGGCTGCCCGTTTAGCCTTGCAGCCGCTGGGGCTGTTACTGGGTGGCTTAGTGACGAGCCAGCCCTATGAGCGCCAGCGTCGGATCGTGGTTGCCAGCTCCTGGTTGCTTCTGGTGCTGACATGGTCGAGCGCCGCAGTGCTCAAAATGAGCCAGCACTGGGAGGATGCCACAGTGATGACTCTGCTCATGGCCTCGCGTGCCCTGAGCGGCCTGATCCTGACATTCTTCTGCACGCCCCTTGAAGCCATAGCCTTTGGGCAGGCTTCGATGGACAACCGTGCCACCCTGTCGCTTTGGTACTTCATGTTCTTGGGTTTGGGCCTGTCCTTGGGCCCGACGCTTTGCTCCACCTTGCTTGAAATCTACAAAACCAGCGGCACCTTGATGGCTGGCCGGAACATTGTGAGTCTGTTGGGGACGCTCTGGTCCATCTACGCCCTTCTGCTGACGATGTGCTTGCCCAGGCTTCCCGAAGGAGAAGAAAGACGGTCGGGCAATGAGGACTCTTTGTTTAAGAATTCCACCCAAAAAACTTTTTCTTCCGTAGAAGGGTAACATGGGGATTGTTATCTTCATTTATATATATATATATATACATTTTGTTTTTTTTTGGGGGGGGTTCTTAAGCAAATAGCAGATGAGGACCGAGAAGCTGTGGACCATGCTCGTTGGGAAGGTGTCAGTGAGGCGAAGCGAGAGTCTCTGGTCTGGGCGGTGGTGAGCTTTACTGCCGAGCGGTCCTTCACCAGCAGTGCCATAGAAGTAGCCACCAGCCTGATCCTCGAGACGCAGTATCAGGGCTTGATTGGAAAAATGCTTTTAAATGTTTAGTACCCCCCCCTAATCCCCATAGAATCCTTATATAGCCATAAAATCCATACGTAATCCTGATAATGCCATTTAAAAATATGTTTAAGCCCCCCCCCAAAAAAAATATAAAAATGCCTACGCCAGGTATGGGTGGAAACCGCATGCCATCGGATTTGTCATGGGCGCGGTCTTCGCGGGCACGGTCGTGATGGGATGCTTGGCCCTGCTCGTGCGCGGGTGGTTGGTGTCAGATCGCCAGCTCATGTTGCTAGGTAGGGCTTTCGGAGCATCTTATGTTTTCCCTTGTTGGGTTTCAGAGGATCGTATTCAGGAAGATTTCCTCAAACCCCAAACCCCAAACCCCAAACCCCAAACCCCAAACCCCAAACCCCAAACCCCAAACCCCAAACCCTAAACCCAAAACCACAAACCCCAAACCCAAACCCCAAACCCCAAACCCTAAACCCCAAACCCTAAACCCTAAACCCTAAACCCTAGGTTGTTCCTGGCTATTGCCAGTACCTTGGCCTCCCTGTGGTTTGTTGATTGGGGAAGCGTTGGCGGCCCACACTCTGCCTCGCACCTGCGACTTAGCAGCTGAAGGAGTACACATTAACTCTTTTCGGGTTTAGGGTTTGGGGTTTAGGGTTTAGGGTTTGGGGTTTAGGGTTTAGGGTTTAGGGTTTAGGGTTTCGGGTGCACACTCTTTTGGGGGCTTATAAGAACTCAGCAACTCGAAGGCTACTCGCCGACTTCGTGAACTTCATTGGCATGTTCCAGCTCCCCTATCCCCCTTGGGGAATTATTTTCTATTTTTGTTTACATAGGGAATTATTTTGTATTTTTTATATAAAGCCCAAGAGGATATTAAAAAAAAAAAAAAAAAACGCTATTTTGTTGATATAAAACCCAAGAGGGTATTTGAGAATAATACTTTTTATGAAGGTTCTAAGGGGAGTATCAAGGCTCTCCGCTTTCATGGATGGCGTTGCCATGCAAGCCGCGGTCCCGGGTTCCTCCTGCAGCTTGCAGAACCTTGGGGACGAAAGGAACCCTAAGAGGGTCCATGTACCGCAGGCTAAAACTAGTGTATAGGGTTTACAGTTTATAGGGTTTAGGGCTTCGGGTTTAGGGTTTCGGGTTTAGGGTTTAGGGTTTAGGGTTTAGGGTTTAGGGTTTAGGGTTTAGGACCTACATAGTATATAGTTGGGCCCCGAAGCTACTACATGGAAACCCCTTTGAGGCCCAAGGATATGCTATATAAGTACATGGACCCTCAGGAGAACCTCAAAAGGGTTTAGGGTTCATATACCTTAATAGGAATTTGTAGTAGTCAGGGTATACGATCCCCAATTTTGGGGTTCATGTCGTCCCCAAGGAACTACATCGTCCTGAGGAAGCTGGTGATGTACGTAGCTCGAGCCATAGCTCCGCCGATTGTGCGCCTGGTGATCGGCGCCTATGGGCGGAATGCGTACGCTGGGGCTCAGATCGCTGTGACCCTGACAGCCGTGGCCAGCGTCGGTTTTGTGGCCCCCTTTGCCAAAGGAGCGAAGGGGTCCGAGTTGCGGACGCCAGAATAATGGAGTCTGCGCACTTCGGATTTCGTTTGAAAGGTAATGTTGGAACCCTGAAAAGTCCGCTCGGCCACCTCAGATTCCTCTAAAACGTGCCAAGAACTCCAAAGGGTCCGAAGACTCCACCTTTAGGGTTTTAGGGGGGACCCAAGAAGCCTCAGGATTCATCATTTTGGCTCCAAGAAGCCCTCAGGATTGGCTCAGGTTTAGGGTTTAGGGTTTAGGGTTTAGGGTTTCGGGTTTGGGGTTTAGGGTTTAGGATTCAGGGTTCAGGGTTTAGGGTTTAGGGTTTAGGGTTTAGGGTTTAGGGTTTGGGGTCAAAGTGTGCAGGCGGAGCACCTGCCCACCCCTTCAGGGCCCAAGACCCTAAACCCTGAACTCTCTGAGGGGTGTAGAGATGGGAAGCTTTTGATGGTGCGGTCTGACAACCCTACCTATCACGACTATGGCTTTGTGTTCAGGGTTAAGGTTTTGGTTTAGGGTTTCGGGTTGTAGGGAGGGCACATGATGAATCCTAGGAGGGTCATGGGCCCCATAGACGTGGAGCCTAAGCTTAAGTACAACTGTTTGGGAATCTGATCGGCCTACCTGTATGGTTATCCAGGAGCCTTAAACCCTAAACCCTAAACCCCGGGCCCTAAACCCTAAGCCCCTGGCCAGGAAACTGTATCTGCAACACAACCTAGGCTCGTAGGTGGTTTGAGGCAGCACGTGATAGGAAAGAAGAGGCGCTGTCAAAAGCGCAGGGTGTGGTGAGGCGTAAAAACCCTGGCCATAGCTACCAACGAAGCTTCCAGTAAAATGGTTTAATGGGGGCTTCGGGAACCCCCATATACTAACACTCCTTAATAGGGATTATCATTGGGGGATACTATAGTCCCTATGAGGGACTGTTAGTATAATGGGGAACATCCCAAGCCTAAACCCTAAACCTTAAACCCTAAACCCTAAACCCTAAACCCTAAAACCCTATCCCCTCTGGGGCTTATGAACTCAGCCACAGTCGAAGAGGCGGCTGAGTCTAAGCTCCAAGAGCTCCACCAGGAGCAGGTGAAAGCCACTTGCCGAGTTTAGGGTTTAGGGTTTAGGGTTTTGGGTTTAGGGTCTAGGGTCGATCTTGCACTTTCGAGGTCTTTTGTTCGGCTTAGGGTTTAAGGTTTAGGGTGCGGGCTTATAGGGCTTAGGGCTTAGGACTGTCGGGGTCTTTTTTCGGGCTTCGGGGGCTTAGGGTTTTGGGTTTAGGGTTTTGCGGGGCTTAGGGTTTGGGGTTTAAGAGACTTGGATTTTTAACTTTCGGGGTCTTTTCTCGGGTTTGGGGCTGAGGCTTCGGGGCTTAGGGTTTCGTGGGCTTGGGGCTTAGGGTTTAGAGTTTAGGGTTTAGGGTTTCGAAATTAGGAATTTGGGGTTTAGGGTTTAGGGTTCCCTTTTGCAATCCCTTGAGATGAACACGGCAGAGGCCACTGCCCGAGCCATGTGCGCATATCCGAACAAAAAGTTTAGGGCTTAGGGTTCACGACTATGTGGTTCATAACCTTAAAAGCATACACCTTCAAGACAATAATCCCTGTATGGCCCTTATGTGGAAGAGTCTTTTCTCTTTTTCTTTGGGGGGGAGGGTTCTTAAGCAAGTTTGAGCGTCCGAAGCCCCGAAGCTCCATACTCCTACAACATGTGTGCTCTGAGAGCCTTAGGGTCACCCCTAAACCCTGAACCCTAAACCTTACATAAACCGTAAACCCCAAACCCGAAACCCTAAACCTTATACCCTAAACCCTAAACCCTAAATTTAGGCCCTAAACCCTAAACCCCGACACCCTAAACCCCAAACAAAAACCGAACATGTGAGCCTTGGAGTCTGAGGGACTGAGAGCTCACCTCTAAACAAGCTCAGACCCTCCTTGCGGCGGTCGCGGCTGCCGTGCAGGCCAAAATCTGGGAGTTTAGGGCGGTTTAGGCTTTAGGGTTTAGGGTTTAGGGTTTCGGGTTTCGGGTTTCGGGTTTGGGGTTTGGGGTTTGGGGTTTGGGGTTTGGGGTTTGGGGTTCAGGGTTCAGGGTTCAGGGTTCAGGGTTCAGGGTTCAGGGTTCAGGGTTCAGGGTTCAGGGTTCAGGGTTCAGGGTTGGGTGGGCCCTCAACCCTGTCCCCCCAAAACCCTCACACCTGAAAGCTCTCAGGCCCCTGCTCCCCCCCCCCCCCCCCCCCCCCCCCCCCCATATCCTAAAAACCCTGAACCCTAAAACCCCAAACCCTATAAAACCTAAAGCCCCAAGGCCCGAAAGCCCCAAACAAGACAGACAGCAATTGTTGGTGCTTGTATGGCTACTTGTTTTCCAAAGTATGCTCCTTTTGTTTTTTCCCTGTACCCTAAACCCTAAACCCTAAACCCTAAACCCTAAACCCTAAACCCATGAAACTTCACAGGAACTCTTGGGTCCTACACAAACCCGAAAAACCCTAAAACCCTAAAAAAGCCCTACAAACCCTAAAACCCTAAAAACCCTAAAAACCCTAAAAACCCTAAAACCCTAAAACCCTAGAAACCCTAGAAACCCTAGAACCCTAAAACCCCAAAAACCCTAAACCTTAAACCCGAAACCTGATATGACTTTGTGCAGGTCACAGAGGAGGTCAAGCTCGAAGGAGACTTCGATCAGATCGCGCGACTCTCAAAGGTTTAGGATTTAGGATTTAGGGTTTAGGGTTTTGGGTTTTGGGTTTAGGGTTTTATTTCTCGGGCTTGACCCTAAACCCTAACCCTAAGCCCTAAACCCGAAACCCTAACACAAACCTTAAACTTCGCCATCGGGTCGTGATGAATGACTCCTGCGACTTGAAGTAGGCGAAGTTTACTCCCAACCTCCAGTGGACACCCGGGAACACTAACCCGAAACCTAAACCCTATAAACCCTCTAAACCCTCTAAACCCTATAAACCCTATAAACCCTATAAACCCTATAAACCCGAAATACATCCTACAAACCCCATAAAGCCTACAAACCTGAAAGGCCTTCAAAGCTCGATATTTCCCATAACTCCTAACCCCTAAACCCTAAACCCTAAACCCTAAACCCTAAACCCTAAACCCTAAACATGGGTCAAGCCTGAGACCGCCCTGCAAGGAACCGACGGCACCTCAAGACCTTGTCCACTCCAACCTCTGGGGCTTCAAGGGTTTGGGGTTTAGGGTTTAGGGTTTAGGGTTTAAGGGTTTGGGTTTGAGGGTTTTGGGGTTTTAGGGTTTGGGGCTTAGGGCGCGTCACGCCCCAACATCGCCAAGAAAATGAACTTGGGGAAGAGACGGTGCCAGAAGACCCCTTGTGCTTCTGAGCTCCGGGTTTAGGGTTTAGGGTTTAGAGTTTAGAGTTTAGGGTTTAGGGTTTAGGGTTTAGGGGGTTGACGCCCCTTCTCCCCAATTCTTCGACTTCAGAAGCTTCAACCGCTGCACCTGAAGCTCTTGGGGTTTGGGGTTTAGGGTTTCGGGTTTAGGGTTTATTTAGGGTTTAGGGTTTAGGGTTTAGGGTGCAGAATGTATCGGGCTTCGCCCCTAAACACCCATGCCGCCAACCCTTGCACCTGGTAGCTCCCATCCCCGAACCTTAAGCAGCCTAAACCCTAAACCCTAAACCCTAAACCCTAAACCCTAAACCCTAAACCCTAAACCCTAAACCCTAAACCCTAAACCCTGAACCGCTAAGTCTTTCTTCGCCATAAGTCTGCTTGTGCTCACATGGTACCTGTCCCTGTTTGGGTCTTAGAGCTTCTAGGGTTTACAATAGGGTTTGTGGGATCTAGGGTCTAAGCCCTAAACCCCAAACCCTAAACCCTAAACCCCGAAACCCTAAACCTAGGTCTAGGGTCTACGTTGGCATAGCAGTGGATCCCAAGGTGGGTCACCGCAAAGACGAGTTCATCTTCGCCCGGGGCCTACGAACTATTGAGCTGCCAAGGGCATAGGGTTTAGGGTTTAGGGTTTAGGGTGTAGGGTCGAGGGTTTAGGGTTAAAAAGTGTTTACGTTCCAGGGGTTAGGGTTTTAGGGTTTTGGGGTTTTCGGGTTTTTGGGTTTCAGGGTTGTAGGGTGGTAGGGTTGTAGGGTTTTAGGGTTTGAGGGTTTGAGGGTTTGAGGGTTTTAGGGTTTGAGGGTTAAGGGTTGAGGGTTTAGGGTGCTGGACACCTGCGCCATACGTACTAGCACATGGTGTAGACCCGAAATCATACACTGACACTACATGCGTGCTTCTGGGCTTGGGTGCTTGGGCTTTGTAGGTTTTAGGGTTTAGGTTTTAGGGTTTTGGTTTAGGGTTTAGGGTTAGGGTTCAGGATAGGGTTTAGGGTTTAGGGTTAGGGCTTAGGGTCTAGGGTTGCACTAGGTTTTGGTTCGGGGACGAGAGTAGGGAATGGAGCTGCCAAGGAGAGAAGGTACGCAGCATACTGACTGGATTTTTTTTGGGGGGTCTTGGCTTCGGATGTGTTTGTATGTTCATTTTGCTTGAGGGTCTAGGTTTTATCAGCTGACCCCTGCTTAGACCGTGAAGATTCATCACTGCAGGTCCTCCCACTGCAGGCCCAAAATCGTATAAACCCGATGAACCCTGTAAACCCTATTAAAACCCAGTACACCCCATACCCCGATTAAACCCGATAAGGCCTCTAAGCCCTTTCCACCCTATACCTGTAAAGCCCTATGAAGTCTGTAAACCCTACAAACCCTATGAACCCTTTAAATCCTACTCTATAAACCCTCTAAACCCCCACCCAGAAATGAAGGGAGCATCCTGCCTGCGTGCAGGAGTGCTCGCAGAAGCTTTTCCCGGCGATCTGTCTGGACGTTTCCGCAGGATCTGTGGCCGGTACCTTACAAGTTTCGGGTTTAGGGTTTAGAAGGGTTTGGGGGTTGGGGGTTTTGGGTTTCGGGTTCAGTTTTGAGGTTTCCGGGTGCAGGGTTTTTTTTCGAGTTTGTGGGCTTGGAGAGAGGGTTTGACGCGCACAGGGCTTCAGGGTATCCTAAGCAGCCTAAGAACCCGGCCCAGGTCAGCATTTCAATGGCTTCAGGTCTTAGAGTAGAAGGTTGGTGGTCTGACGGGTTAGGGTTGATAAGCTTTAGGGTGTAGGCATTTCCCTTAACCCCAAGCCCTGCACCCTAAACCCTAAACCCTAACGTTCATAAGCTTTAGGGTTTACACTGGTAGATAGTTGGGGCATAGGGAATCGGGATGTGAAGGGCTTGGGTTGACAATGAACCCAATCAGGGTTCAGGGTTTGGAGTTTAGGGTTTGGGGCTTAGGGTTTGGGGTTTGGGGTTTCGGGTTTGGGGTTTAAGGTTAGGGTTTAAGGACATGTACTTGGACAAGGGAAACAGGGCTCAACCGTAGTAGTCGATAAAGTCCGAAGGCCCGACGTCCTTACGTAAAGCAAACCCGTGGGCTCAGGGTTTAGGGTTTAAAAAGGGCTTAGGGTTTAGGGCTTGGCTTTGAAGCGATGAGGTTTTTGCTGGAGCCTATAGCTCCCCAGCTCGAAACCAACACCCCACATGGTTGTACCTTCCTATTTGGCGAGTTCTCCGAGTTATGGTTTCTTGTGGAGTACCTTAAGCAACATGGGCCGCCTTAGGATCAGGAATCCAAAAGACCATCTAGGGTATACCAGGACAGGGCCGAGAGTTGGCGAGCAACCCAAAACCGACGCCTGCAGGGCTGATGTAGAAGCAGGGTTGCACGCCTGATCTGCTACATCAGCCTACTGTAGGTGTTCTAACAAATTTGAAGCAACAATGCCCTGGTGATTGTTATCAGGAGCATTAGAATCCAAACTACCTAAGCCCTGAGCCCTAAACTTAAACTTATCCTAAACCCCAAACCCCAAACCCTAAACCCTCAACCCTCAACCCTTAACCCTCCTCCCCCGCCGCCCCCCTTGTTGGGCCCCTCTCAGGTCCTTACCGTCGGCGCCATGGATCGCGTGGCTCCTCGTCTTAGAAGTTAAGTGGCGGGTGGAGTTTGTGAGCCTATCTTATATATAAGCGTCAGGGTACCTACCAAGCGGGTTTAGGGTTAGGAGTTAGGGTTCAGGGCTTAGGGCTAATAAGCCTTAGGGTTTCTAGGGTTGAGTCACCCCCGCAAGCCGCAGGGTCTCAGCCAAGCGGCCGCCTCGGTCCGGCGCGAGGGCCTGGACCTACCGACCTTTGGGCAGATGCAGGCGCGCTTGCGCGTGCGCGTTATTTTGTATTTCTGTTATTATTATGATCATTATGGTTATTATTGTCATTTTTGTTAACACAATTATTAAATTGTCATTATTATTATTATGATGATTATTATTACTATTGTTATTATTATTTCATGATAATATTGTTATTGTTTTCATTACTACTGCCATTATTACTACTACGAGTATTATGTTTTTGTATATATACATGTATGTATATATAACTTCCTTCTTATGTGTTGAGGTTTGATATCTTGTTCGTGATTATGTGCAATTGTTTATATTAGGTGGTTATTCCTATTTAGGAGATTGTTCTGATTTGTACCTTTCCTTTCTTGTTCTTGTTCATTTTGTGGATTATATTTGTTTTGAGGGCGGGGGGGGGGGGGGGGGGGGGGAGGTGATGGGGTTGGGGGTTTAGGGTTTGGGGTTCAGGGCTCGCTTTCACCTGAGGGGGAGTTGATTTTGCTTCGTTTTTGTTTTGTTCCTGGCTAAGGCGGGCTGTAGAGGTTTCAGAGGCTTTTGGGGGTTTGGGGGTTTAGGGCCCCCTAAACCTTAAACCTTAAACCCGAAACCCCAAACCCCAAACCCTAAACCCTAGCGCGTTTGGGGTGGAATGCTGGAAACTGTGAGAGTTAGATGTTTTAGTCGATGTCTAGGATGGAAAAAGTGTTGTTGACACCTTGAGGTTTATGATTCTGGTGCAGGGTTTAGGGTTAGGGTTTATAGGGTTTAGGGTTGATAGGGTTCAGCCTTGGTATTTAGTCACTCCAGAGCCCTTGCAGTACCCTAAACCCTAAACCCTAAACCCTAAACCCTAAACCCTAAACCCTAAACCCTAAACCCTAAACCCTAAACCCTAAACCCCAAACGTAATCCTAGAGAAGGGAGGGGAGACGAGGGGGGGCCCGGGGAGGCTGCCGCCGTTCAAGGCAGGGGGCCCGGGAAGGTCTTGTGTTTAGGGTTTAGGGTTTAGGGTTTAGGGTTTCGGGTTTAGGTTTAGGGTTTAGGGTTTGGGGTTTAGGGTTTCAAGGAACTAGGGGAGCATGGGACTCACCTTCGCCACAACATGACCCCCTAGAACCAGGGCCTATGGTCTAAAAAAGGCCTGACCCAGGATATCTCCCATTTCAGGGTTCGTGTGGTCCTTATGGTCCTTTCGGGAGTTTGGGGTTAGTTTAGGGTTTAGGGTTTAGGGTTTTGGGCTTAGGGTTTAGGGTTTAGGGTTTAGGGTTTAGGGTTTAGGGTTTAGGGTGTTGCGTTTCGATTGCTTTTGGCTTTTTCGTGGGTTTGGTGAGAGGGGTTGTGGAGCTTAGGGTAGAGGTTGAGGGTACACGTACGTATATTTCTACATCTACAGCTAAACCCTAAACACTAAACCCTAAACCCTAAACCTAAACCCTGAACCCTTTGTAAAGGTGCTTTCCTTGTGGCAATGTACAAGCTCTTGTGGCAGAAAGAACATCCAGATGACACTCAAGAGTTCCCGTATTGCAAGCTCCTCGCGCCGAGCGTTCGATCGAGCAAGAAGCAGTACTATGAGCTGATGAAAGGTTGCTTGGGGTTTACAGGGTTTGTAGGGTTTAGGGTTTATAGGGTTTATGGGGTTTCGGGGTTTAGGGTTTTGGGTTTGGGGCTCTATTTACGAGGACACTTGCAATGGAATCCTGCGGCTGCGGATGGTGTCGATCTGCTCTGCCAGCCAGTGTGCTGCTGTTGGTGTGCATGGCTGATCTCCTTAATTGCGCGACCCAGAGCATCCTCGACTTCAAGAGCAGGGTGCCTGGCCAGCCCTCATCCGTCTCGGAGCCGTCACGGAGCCGTCCGAGCCCCCTACCCAAAAAGGCAAAGGCCCCACCGCGGCAGAGGATAGCCCAACAACGGCACCAGCGAGGGCAAAGCCACAGTCCACGGCGGAAGGGCAACAGAAGCAACCCCAGGCCCAGAGAGCCAGCACAGCTGCAAGCCAAGCTTCCTGACTGTTTTTCATGATCTACCTGAAGGGCCAAGAGGGTTTAGGGTTTTAGGTTTTGGGGGGGTTTATCTCAAGAACCCATCACCTACTTTTTTGTAGGCTTGACCTCTAAAACCCTCGAATAATAGTAGGTTTGGGGGGTTCTTGAGGTGGGTTGTAAGCATTTGAAGCAAACCTACGACCGGCTAAAGCTCACACGTAGAGGGTAGTTCGCTCAATAAACGCAACTCAGAGTGTCGGAACCGTAACGAGTCGACGGTTGGCCTCTTTAGGGTGTGGGGTTTAGGGCTTAGGGTTTATGGAATCTGAGCCCTAAACCCTAAGCCAGCAGGGTCTTAGTTAGTGCTGACTACGACCTTGGAGTGTTTTAGAGCTTGGGGTTCCATGGTTCAAGGCAGGATTGCTGATACCACACGGGTTTATCGGGTTTAGGGTTTAGCGTTGCGGGTTTTAGGTTGTAGGGTTGGAGAACCCTAGATGCGGCGCCAACATCAACTGTGTTTGCAGGTCTTGCGCCTACCCCGCAGCCTCCTCAAACCATGCCAAATTGTGGCTGGAAACTAGACCCGCCACAACCTACTTCCAAATGGAGTATGTAAAAGCCCCAAACCAAACGAGACCCCTCCGGAGGCACATGGGGTGTGAGGGTTTAGGGTTCAGGGTTTTGGGTTTAGGGGTATAGGGTTGTAAGGTTTAGGGTTTAGGGTTTAGGGTTTAGGGTTCAGGGTTTGGGGTTTATAAGGTGTAGGGTTTAGAGGGTTTAGGGTTTTTGGGTTCAGGGTTTAGGGGTGGATGCGCTCACGACAGGGCCTGAGCCTGATGGGAAGAGGCACCCGCAAACTGGATGGTTGCTCAGACTTAGGGGGGTTTAGGGTTTAGGGTTTGGGTTTAGGGTTTAGGGTAATTGGAGTTTTGGGGCTTCAGGTCCTCATCCGGCAGAAAGAATAACCCCAACAACCCTTGTAAAACACAAACCACAAACCCACTAACCCATAAGCCCATGACCCGATAAAACCCCCAATCCCATAAACCCATAAACCGATAGGCCCATAAACCCTTAACCCTAAGCCCCAAACCCTTAAACCCATAAAGCCTAAACCCTACACCCTGAGGCCTGAGCCCTTCTTACCCTAAACCTACATGCCATTGAGACCCAGATGAAGCAATACTGAGGACGACTTGGGTGACCGAGCCCCAATCTGACGGTCTGAGGGTTTCAGGGTTTAGGGTTTAGGGTTTAGGGTTTAGGGTTTAGGGCAGGATCCCATGTGGTTGAGGTCACGCTCAATAGGTCGGCGGCTCTGACCTTGTGGGCGTGGACTTCTTCTCAAAAGCACCGCAGCCAACTCCAAACATACCCTAAGCACCGAATTCCTGAACCTGAACCCTAAAACACACTCTAGGGTTTAGGGTTTAGGGTTTAGGGTTTAGGGTTTAGGGTTTACGGTTTAGGGTTTAGGGTTTAGGGTTATCCCGAAGCCCTGCACACTAAACCCCAAATCCTGAGTCCCCTCCTCCCTAACAGTTTAACAGCCTAGCAACCTACACCCTCCAGCCGGCGACAGGTAGATCCTGAGGCTGTTAGGTCCTCGCACTTGCAGGGTTAAGATGTCAAGATCGGGTTTCGCGTTCAGGGTTTTCGGGGTTTAGGCTGTTCTACATTTTTTAGCGGGTTGCTTTACCTTCAGCCCTCAGCCACGCAGCAGCAAAACCGATGACCCGAACAAGTATTTTGACATCCTTTGCCCTTTTTCGCCCCAAATCCCTTGAAGCGATGCCCTTAAGCCCTAATAACCTCTCAAAATCCGGAATTAGGGTTTAGGGTTTAGGGTTTAGGGTTTAGCCTACCCCCGAAACCCTAAACCCTAAACTCTAAACCCCAAAACCCTAAACCCTAACCCCTAAACCCCTAAACCCCAAAACCCTAAACCCTAAACCCTAAACCCCCCTTAAAGCCATGTGGCGCCTCTTGCTTCGCTGCCACCTGGCCCTCGCAGCGGCCGAAAACCTGGCGCTGTTTCGGGTGCCCTCGCAGAACCCAAGCCTTGAGGGTTTAGGGTTTAGGGTTTAGGGTTTGGTTTAGGGTTTAGGGTTTAGGGTTTAGGGTTTAGGGTTTAGGGTTTAGGGTTTAGGGTTTAGGGTTTAGGGCAAGTTTAGGGGTTAGGGGGTCAGGGTTCAGGGTTCAGGGTTTATAAGGTTTTTGGATTTAGGGTTTAGGGCTAAGGTGTCACAGTGCAGGGTTTAGGGTGTCGGTTTAGGGTTTGGCGTGTAGCATGGACGGCTTGGGGTGTAGGGTTACGTTGGGGTGCAACTCTGGGATGTATCCCTAAACCCTAAACCCTAAACCCCAAACCCAAAACCCTAAACCCTAAACCCCCCAACAGGGTGCAGATTGAGGGCTCAAACCTCCCCCCCTGAGGTGCCGGTCGGGTCCTCTGACACCTACGAGGCCGACTTCGGCAAGGCGCCCCTTAGGGTTTAGGTCTAGGGTTTTTGGTTTGGGGTTTAGGGTTTAGGGTTCAGGGTTTAGGGTTCAGTGTTTAGGGTTTAGGGTTTAGGGTTTGGGACTTTTAATTCAACCCGAAACCCGAACCCTAAACCCTAAACCCTATTAACCCCTATTAAACCCCATTAAACCCGTTAAACCCTATTAAACCCTATTAAGCCCTAATAAACCCTATTATACCCCATTAAACCCTATGAAACCCTAAACCCTAAATCTTTTTGGACTTGTTTTTGAGTTTGGTTAGTTTTTTTTGTTTTTGTCGGGCGTTTTTGGGGGCAGGGCTTACAGGGTGTAGGGTTTTGGGCTTTGGTGTTTTTTGGGCTTTAGGGCTTGTTGGTGTTGTCGTGTTGTGGGATTGTTGGGCTTCGCGGTTTGGTGCCCAAAGTTATGCGGTTCAAAGCATGAGTGCCCCCTGGACCCCGAAGCCCGATACTCCTAAACCCGAAACCCGAAACCCTAAACCCTAAACCCTAAACCCTAAACCCTAAACCCTAAACCCTAAACCCTAAACCCTAAACGTATTGTTGATGTCTCAGGTGGGCTTGCATGTGCCCCGCAACCCCCTGCAGCCCGGACTCCCTAGACTGCCGCGAACCCCGGATCCCCTGAAGCCGTAAAGCCTCCCAAACACTTAAACCACTAAACCCTAAACCCTAAACCCTAAACCCTAAACTCCTAGACTAAGCCCTAAATCCTAAGCCCTACACCCCTCAGCCCCAAGCCCTAAGCCCTAGGCCCTACACCCTTAAGCCCTAAGGCCTATAAGCCGTAAGTCCTAAGCCCGACATGCTGAACCTAACTTCTAGGGACCCTGAGCATGAGGCCACCGATGGTGACAGCTTTACAGAGTGGCGGTCGCGCCATCGGGAGCCGAGACAGACACTGTGACGCTGCTGTAATGTACTACTAATTGCTTAAGAACCCCCCCCCAAAAAAAAAAAAAAAAAAACATATCCTTCCTTATGAGGGTAACATGTTTTTTTTTCCATATTCTTTTGGGGTTCTTAAGCAAATAGTAGTGTAGGGTTTAGGTTGGGATGTTCCCCCCCTCTACTAACAGTCCTTAAGAGGGATCAGAAGTCCCCCCCCCTCCCCTATTGTAACCCCGATGAAGGGCCGTTCGTATAAGGGGGAGGGAACAACATCCCAAGGTTTAGGGGTTTTAGGGGTTTGGGGAACTCAGTTGGGTGATTTTGGGAGTTTAGTTTGGGGTTTTGGGGTTTAGGGGGCTTGGGGGTTTAGCAGCTTACTTTGGGGGTTTTGGGGTTCTTGGTTTTTTGTTTTTTTTGGGATTTTGGGGGTTTGGGTGTTTCGGTCCCCAGTGCCCTGCGTGGTCAGACAAATGAAGGCCGTAAAGAAGTCCTAGAATCAGATCACGGCAGATACAAGAAGACGGTACGAAGTTTTTTTTGTTTGGGTGTTTCCGAAATTCGGGGTAGCTTGGTGTGATCCTTATGAGAAGGGAAGCCGACTATTTGGGGGTTTAAATTAGGGGTCCTCCTTGTTTTCGGAGACCGTCAATATGTGCCTTCGTGAGTCGACCCGCCTCTTGGACCAACTTTTCGGAAGCCCGCATCCGTTTGGTGGTGGAGTGGTGGAGTGGTGGTGGTGGAGGCGGTGGTGATGGTGGTCCTGAGAACCTCCACATCGCAAGTGTTTTGTAGTGTTTATGGTTTAGGGTACGGCACATTTTGGGCGCCGCTCTCGTCGCAGGTTTAGGTTTGAGGGAATTTGGGCTTACAAGGGGACTTCGACGCCACACTTGGATCTAGAACCCAAAACTCTCGCCCTGAAGGGTGGGACGGTTTAGGGTTTAGGGTTTGTGATTAGGGTTAGGGTTTTATATCCTTGGGCAGCCCTAAAAACTGCAGATGTCCTACTTAGTGGCCCAGTTCTTCATAACTGCCGAACTCAAGTAAGGCCCTATAAACCCTAAACCCTAAACCCTAAACCCTAAACCCTAAACCCTAAACCCTAAACCCTATAAACCCTAAACCCTGAGTACCCGCGCTTTAAGCCCCTCAAAGGCCAAGCTGGCGCGTGCCGGAGCCACGATTTGGGCAGGAACGGCTTTTGTATCCCTAAACCCTAAACCCTAAACCCTAAACCCTAAACCCTAAACCCTAAACCCTAAACCCTAAACCCTCTCAAGACCAAAGGGCTGCCAAGCATGGAATCCCCCTGTGTAGTCTCTGCGCCTCAAGCCCCGCATGATTGAACCTTGAACCCCTAAACCCCAGCTTTAAATCTCAAACCCCTAAGGGTCCACGTACCATATTTTCATATTCTTAAGGCCACTTGACTCTAAACCGTAAACCCTTTATAGGGCTACGGGGTTTAGAGGGTTTATAACGTTTACAAGCTTTAGGGTTTTGGGTTCTCAGACTATATGTTCGCATACTGGGGCACTTTAGGGCCCCCAAGCATCCCCATGTTAGGCGCACGGACCCTTAGGGTTACACCCAAGACCCGAAGCCCTACACCCTAAACCTAAATCCTAAACCCTAAACCCTAGACCTTAAACCCTAAACCCTAAACCCTAAGCCCTAAACCCTAAACCCTAAACCCTAAACCCTAAACCCTAAACCCTAAACCCTAAACCCTAAACCCTAAACCCTAAACCTTAAACCCTAGCCCTGAACCCTAAACCTTGAACATGGTAAGCCCTGGTGGCTTTCCCATGCCCTCTGGGTCCGAAAAATCTCGCAAACAAATGGAGAGGCGCCGCCTGTTAGCCAGACCCAATGGCGTCTGCCGACGTTTGCCGAGATGAGTGGCGACTACCCAGGCGCACCAGAGGTTTGGGGTTTAGGGTTTAGGGTTTGGGGTTTGGGGTTTGGAGTTTGGGGTTTAGATTTGAGAGGTGTCTACTTGGAACTTGGAACCCCTTTTGAGGTGTAGCAAGGTGGGTTATGGGGCTTTGAGAGGTGTCTACTTGGAAGCCCTTTAGACTTAGTAAGTAGGGTTAGCAAGGTAGGATATGGGAATAGCAATCGGGTTTCTAGGGGATTGCCAAGTCAAAAAGAGCTTCTAAACCCTAAACCCTAAGCCCTGCACACGTTGTCAATCTGCAACCACAGAATTGTCATGGGCCCCCAGTTCTTCGTTTGGCGTCCGGTTCTCTCAGAATATCAGGCTTTTAGTCTCAGGGTTTAGGACGTACCCTCGTATTCCTTCGAAGCCCTAAACCCTAAACCCTAAACCCTAAAAACTAAATCCTAAACCGCTAAACCGTAAACCCTACACTCCACGACCTGGCCCATGGCCTGAACGCCAGCTGTGGGTCAGGCTTCCTGCTGGTCGACTTAGGTGCGCCCTCGCAG